GGGGACATCATAGACACTTGATGTAGCTGAGCTATCAGAAATAAGATTCACTTTATTGACATAAGTTGATTGTAGTAGATAGAGGTTACAAAGCCATTGTACACACTAATATTCTGTGCATCAGAAGAATGAGTGTTCTTGTAGATAAAAAGAAATGCCATGGCATTGTTAAAGACTCTTGTGGTGCTTCCTGAAAAGCAAATAGACAAGATAATTTCTACTTTTTCTCAAAGGTTCAAACTGTATTACGACCAAAGTGAAAGCAATCTTATATGTAATACAGTTAATGAATTGAATTTCAGATTTGAGTTACAAAAAATGGGGTCATTTTAGGCTGCCCAGCACAACTTTTTTTGTATGACAACAAAATGGACTTAGAAAAAGTTATGAAACCAAATGAGCCACATGGCTCAGTTGGTGACCCTGTTGCTCAAACTGCATGAATGTCTTCCTAAAACAGGAGTAGAAAGTAAAAGATTCCATCTACCTCCTAACAAAATTTATTACATCGGTTGGTACGTTGCTAAAATTGTGAACTATATACTATCTGGCTATCAGCTAATATCATGAGAATCAATATTGATGGACTGAATGAGGACTGCAGACTGCAGTCCTCATTCATATTGATTCTCCTGAGATTAGCCGATAGCCAGATAGTATAGCCCACATTTTTAGCAACATGCATACCAATGTAATAGAGTTTGTTAGGAGGTAGATGGAATCTTGCAGTGTTTCTTCACAACACACTATCTGTCCAATAACACATACTAAGTATCCACACATGCAGAAAGGAGAATATATCTCTACCTTTTAACACCACAAGCACAACAATGATGGATGTTAATCTAACTCCTGTTTTAGTGCATTGGCATTTCCAACATCTTGGTGTTTCTGCTTCTTCTTGTATAGGTGTAGTAGTACTGATGGTAGCTGTCTCTGCTTGGTTCTATTACTGTATGATAGAAACTGTTAATAGGAATGGATACAGTACAATAGCTTAAACTATTTTTGTTCATATGTTTACTGTTCAATGCAATTTTTGTATTTTAAATTTAAAAATATTACAAAATTTTATTCTAACATCTGTTAATACTATACATAAGTTTGTGTTTCTAGTCATTATATGGCTGTTGTCAGATTCGGCAACATAAATGTACCCATCTTTATCCAGTGCCACACAATATGAACTAGATAATCCTGAGAGTAATTTGACTTGTTTCCTGTCAAGACTCAGTACATGAAGATGAGAGGTGCCACCATTATCAGCTGATACAAAAATAAATCCTTCATCATCAATAGCAATACCATTAGGATAGTTCAAGTTACCCTATTGTATGTATCAAGACGAGTTTTACCATCAGGAGAGAAGACTTGAACATGATGTTGATCACTAATGGTAACATGTATCTTTCCTTCATTATCAACTGCTACATCAGATTCATTACGATCACAGTGAAAGACTTTTACAAATGTACCATCTTCCTTAAACACTTGAACTCTTTTGTTGTTGAAATCAGCTGCTAATATATTACATTTATACCATCAGTGGACATACCACAAGGACTAGAGAATTGTCCATTTCCATTACCTTTACTACCAAACTGACCAATATACTGACCAGTAGTAGCTGAGAAATACTGCACGCATGAAGACACATAGAGCCTGTCTCCTAGCTATCAGCAATCAACCCCAAGGATACTCCAACTGTCCATTACCATTACCTTTAGATCCAATCCTCCTTACTGCAGTACCATCCTCACTAAATACCTGAACAAATCCATCATCACTACTAGCATATACTTCACCATTAGTATGAACAGCAACACCATATACCGCTTCCCACATCAAAGGATCTCTGCATGGTTAGTTAGTGTGTGGTATAGTCTCTTGATGCTTTTACTGACAGTTGATAAGGACTACCTTTAATATGGTGACCTCTTATAGTCACTGATAGTTCATATCCACCAATACTTTGAGGTGTGCATGATACAATAGCTGTGTTGTTATCATTAACTATAACAACTCTACCCTCCTTTTTACTACCATCACTTTTGATAAAGGAAGCCAGCCTCCAAATAGCTTGATGCTTTATCAATGCCTGTTGGTAGAGCCACTTTGAATTTCCTTTCTTTCTTTACTGTTGCCAATGGAATAGCTAACCCACTATCAATGGAATAAATGACTGGATCAGCTTCAAAAACACTGCCAAATTTATGAATCTCGTTGCTAATGGTGATACCTGGACTTGTATTTTCTGCCATTATTACCTATGAGAAAGTGAATAATCTTCTGGTAACTGATAATATTTAACTCACTTAAGCTGTAATTGCTGCTGCTTCAAGTGTATTATCTACTTATATAGGTATTCTTTTGCTTGTCTATGACAATGAGCCCAACCCTTGTTTGTGTGACTTTTGTTGCTAACACCCCCGCAATAATTTAAATCAGTGGGTGTGAAATCTTTCTTATTTTCTTGACAAATTTTAATTGGGAATTCTAAATTAATGTGGCATAAAATATAACATAAAATACTTAGCATTCTAATTATGCAGTTATAATTACAATGTACATGTACACTAGAATTGTTACTTTTTGATGCTGTACATGCATGTATGTGTTTATTTCTAGGAAACCGTCTCTCTCTCAAAAGCTAAGTGAATTAGCTCAACATGTTGACTTTGGAGAAGACTAAGAGAGCTGATGATGATAATGACAGAGAAGAAGGAAAGAAGAAACAAGAGGAGGAGGAGGAGGAGGGAGTTTCTGGTCCTACAACTAAGAAACCAAGTCATTGCTGGCCATGCACTGATGGGAATTCACACACTCAAAACTCAAGTACATAAATACATGTATTTGTATAAGCAAGAGTATAAATAATGTATCAATGTATTGCATACATAAAGGATAGTTAAACTTTATTATCAGTTTTGCCTTTATTGCAGGCAAGCATTGACTGAAGTTAGTGTACTGTCTGATGTGTTACAAATTGTTCATAATCATCATCAATACTTGTCACTGGATCCAGTTTATGTTAATAAGAAATACACATTACCTCCTTCATATCAATGCCAAATTAAAAAGAAGGTTAGCCTCATTATTTGTTACTCTACTCAGTTATGCATGCACAATACATGTACCTCAATATAGAAGATTATAAAGGCATAGTATTGGCCATACTGTGAATGTACCATTTCTTTACCTGTATTGTGTTTAATATAATGAGGTACACAGATCAATAGGAGTTCTTTTAGTGAGCTTTGTCCCTATTAGATTGATAGTTAATGAATATGTATTCATTGTGTATGTACATGTAAATTTAATATTATCATGAGTTTTTCTTAAGGCACTTGATGTAGCTTCCTAGATATTAAGAAAAGGAGCTGAGCCACTCCAGAGATTATCCAGTCAAACTGATCACAAGTTCTACAGAGCATTATATGATTTAAGAAGAAAATGGATACCACGTAGAACAGCTAATGGAGTCAGTGGAGACCTCAGCTATAGATCAGGTAACTTAATTGGAATGAAGTATAAGACACACACAGTATAACAGTAATGGGCACTATAGTATGAACTATGAAGCAACTTATTTTGTAAAAAAAAATCTAATTTTGATTGGAATCAGCTCAAACTTGCTACACAACGTGAGAACATGTATATGTATCAGAAAAAAGTATAAAATTGGAGAATTCTCATGCTTTAATTTTTGGCAAAAATTTATTCGTGACCCTGTACTATTATTAGTAACGCGGTAGCGTTACTAAGTAGGATTCACCCCCAAACAAAATGGCTGCCACGACTTTTGCAGCCTTGCTATCAGGGGCGTAGCTGAGGTAGGGCCTGAGGGGGCCTGGGCCCTACCATCAAAGTGCCCTTATAATTATATTCATTGAAATTATAACCCAAAAGATTATATTCATTGTTCTTACAATAACAAAAGGGGGTGGCTGATAACCACAGCTCTTTTAAAAGCTATATACAATGATAATTTCACTCTGATTTCGCTCAGCTTGCAGGAAAATGCTTCCATTTTGTTACGTAAAAGGGGTGTGACCAAAATTGCGGCGCGCTTCGCGCGCGCCATCTTATCTTCTTGCCCTACCGTCACCCAAGGTCCAGCTACGCCCCTGCTTGCTATACCAGGAAAACGAGCTCCTATGCTTACCAGACTTCTTAGAGGACCTCATCTTGACCAGAGGACTCCATTGGTACCACTAGCGTGGCTCTAGACCTTGTCTAAGAGAAAATCCAAAAATCGGCGAACCGGCCGTTTTGTTCAGCCACCTTTTTTCATCTTCATCATCATCATCATCATCATCATCAAGTCAGAAGTCCTGTCAATCCAGTTGTCGGTGTGTATCTCAGTATTGGTTGGTGCTACAAGGATCATTCTTACACCAATCTACTCCAACAGTCTATGCGCAGGTCCATGTCCCATCAGATCATTCTTCAAGTGAGGAAAAAGTGATACTGTGACTGCTGGATCGAGCCATCTTAGCTGTATGCCGCCATTTGTTAATTAAAGAAGCTTGCCATGTGCTCCAAAATTTGGGTGTGGTCGCGCATGCTCAGATCTGCAGCTCTCGAAGAAGCAAGTTATTTTACCAAGCTATGCTTGGAATCAACTTACTGCAATACTTTAGTGGAGGTTTCCAGCTAAAAGAAGGTATTGATTTTACATGTTAGTGTTTTATCAAGTGTGTTATTTTATTTTATTAAAAAAAACAAACAATTAATTAATGTTATGACTTATGATATGCAATGATAATTATGAACTTGACAACAGCCTGGAAGAACAGGAATAGCAGGGAAGATAGACACTCTTAGCTCACAGGTTCTTGAACAAGGACTTGTGTCAAGACTAATTCCTTCAGCATGTCTATTTGATGCTGTCTCTCATAAATGTTATAACAATGATAATAATAAAGAAAATTATTGTTTGTGTAAAATCACCAAGTATCACAATTGCAACTAAATATAAATATTATTTTAAAAATCAACACAAACAAGAACATAAAAAATTTATAAAAAAAGATGAAGTAGGATTCTGAACGACCAATGAAAATACAAAATATTATAAAAAAATCAACACAAACAAGAACATAAAACATTTAAAAAAAACAAGATGAAGTAGGATTCCGAACGACCAACGAAAATACGAATTGTAAATCCTACTCGTGACGCAAATTCAACTCTACATTGCAAGCTGATCCGTAATTCTTACATAATAATATTAAAAGTACAATGTAGAGTAGAATT